ATAAGAATATTGAAAAATGGAAGAAGTGAATTTATATATCCTGTGTACACATATATACACATATATATCCTGAAAGCCCTCAGCCTTCTTCTGTTCTGCTCCTAGAATGTGGCAGCTTGTCCTTTACTCTCCCAAATCTGACATTGGAAGATTCTTTAGGTGATTTGACTAGCTCGTGAGGAAAGACTTAGTGACACTGACATTGGTTCCCCAATTAAATGGCTCAGCCTGATCACTTACCTTAAATGATGCCTTATAGTTTGATAAGCCTTCTAAATAGCTTTGTGGCCTTTCACTTAAATATGGATATCTGAAATAGGCTTCTTAACATTAAAAGGTAGAGTTTAAAGCTCAAAGAAAAGAAAAGCAACTGAGAGCAAGCAAACTATGCAGATAGAAGAAAATTTAAACTATATTGATCTCCTTAGAGAGGTAGATTTTTACAATCATGGAATAACAGGATAATCTATAAAAGCATAATTTAAACAAAGATAGCATTTGGAAATTAAAAATATGAGAGCAGAAACAATCTTAATAGATGGTTTGCAAGATACAGTTAATAATGTTCCTCAGAAGGTTGGGGTGGGGAGCAGAGGAAGAATCAGAGGTAGGAAATATCAGAGGAGAGTAAAGAATCATGAGGATCAGTCCATGAGGTCCTTCAGCACTGAGGGATGTGAATTTCCAAAGAAGCAAGATCCATTCATTGGCCAGTGCAGTAGATGAAAAATAGACAGCTGGGAAATTTCATAATACTGGGGACAGAAGGAAGAACCTAGAAGCTTCCAGACTGAAAAAAAATACATCAGACAAATCTGAAATGCTTTGTCTTCTCACCATCAAAATTGGAGGCAGGTGGGAGACAGCACTGTCTTCAAAATGATTTCCAGCCTAGAATTCTTTATCCAGCCTGTCAGCTCTGAGGATAACGATATTTTCAGATGTACAGTATCTCGGTACTTATCCCCCTTGCATCCTTCCTTCAGAAGGTTTGGGAGGGTATACTTCATGAAAAGAATAAAGAAAATTAAGGAGGAAGACAGGATATAGGAATCCTGGACTCTGTAGGATAGAGGCATGGGGAACCATAGGATGCTAGCTAGTAAGAGGACAGTGTAGTATGATAGATGTGTATCAGCTGTAGATGATAAGCAGCCGATTGGAACACATGAGAGGGCTCATGATAGTCTTGGAGATGAAACTGATGTGTCTGAATTAACATTTGAGAAAAAAATTTAGGAAACTAGTGGAAGGTTGAATTAGTGATAGGGATGATGTAGAGAAAATGAAGCAAATGCAATGATAAGACATTAATTATGGGAAGAACAAAGGATTGTGCAGGAAAGAAAAAGTAATCCTAGCTTACCACATGGCTTAATTGTGAATTGCATTTACAGAATCATAATAATGTAAAGACTGAGTGCTCATCTAACTCTGGTTATCACTGGGAATGATTTCCCCCCCTTTAGGGGACATTTGCATTACCCGGAGATCTTTTTAGCTGTTATATCTTGGTGGGAGTGCTAATGAGTAGAGGCTAGGGATGCGCTGAACATCATGCAGTGCACAGGAAAGCTCTTCTCAACATAGACTTCTCTTCTTCAAAATGTCAGTAGTGCTGAAGTTGACATCCTAACCAAAATTGTGATACAGTTTTGTTGGGTGGATGGAGAGATGAGAAGGGTGTGTAGAATGGGAGTGGGAATGGAGTTAATTCCATAATGGAAGTCAGTAGAAAATGCCCCAAACTGAGCAAATAATAAACGTCTAGAGTGTTTTAGGGATATGTTAAGTTAAATAAAATCAGATACAAAATTAGTTTTTTGCCGTGCTGTTTATCCTGTTTTACCACCCAGTGGTCATTCTTAGATGTGGGCAGTGGTCTGATATAGTTCAGTTCACAAAGTTGGTGGTTTGCTATTCGTAGTCTAATCCAAGCTTGTGCAGTTTGGGATTGAACCTCAGTTTGTAAACAATTTCCTGGGGCCATTTTCCTGAGCTGCTTCTCTTTAGCTATTTCCCTGATACTTATTGGCTCTTTAGGTCTACCCTTTTGGTCCTTTAGTCAGAAGCCACTCTGGCACACACTTCATGTGTCTCTGCTCACGTCTGAGACCAAGTGGCTGAAGGTTAGAAGAAAAAAAACCAGTGAACATTAGCCCTACTCTCCTGGGAGCACATAGCTCTTGCGATTCAAGAGAAAGTTTCCTGGCCCTTAGAGTTTTAGCCTCTGTGGGTCTCTGTTACACACACTATTGCTGCCACCTCTAACCATGATGGCATTGCTTGTGGACTGGGGCATGGGAGAATGGAGAAAAGAAAAGGAAAACCCTACTCTCTGCAAGAGTTAGACTCCTCTCTTGACCCTTGAGGCTTGACCCTAGAGGGCTTCTGGGGCTCTCTCTTTCCCAGCTGGTGCTCACTTCTAACCCCCAGTCCGGTAAGGCAACACTAGAGGGTAGAAAAATGGTAAATTCACTTCTTCCATCCAACCAGAATAGGACCTACGTAAGCATTTAAAAGATAAATTGTAACTATCAGTATGTCACTCTCAATGTATATGTCAAACAATTTGCTAGACTATAGGAATAAAAACAAGGAAAGATAGGGTACATTATCTCAGTGAACTACTTGAGAGGAGTTTGTGGACAGTAATAGTAAACGCCAGATAATTGTAAAGGAGTTGGGAGTCTCAGAGATTATATAAATCTGTTCAGAGGAGTCTGATGTATCTACATAAGAGGGGTAATGTTTGTAAGTCATGAAGGATGAATTAGGAGTTTGCTGGGTGGACAAGGGAAAGGAAGTAGATATAGTATATAGATGACAATTTAAGACATTTCTAAGAATTTGGTATCCCTGGGTATAAGGAGCCCCCTTAAAGTAATCCAAGAGGTTATGCAGGTGAGTAGGAACCAGATCTTGAATGCCATCTAGAAGAGTTTGGACTTTTTTATTTTAGATAATGCCACCGGGATTGCATGTTACACATTTTGTTCCTGGTATATGTGCAGTTTAAGCTCCTTTTCCCCATAGTTTTTCTGTATTGAAATATAGGTTAATTGTACCTACATTCGTCTTACCATTTACTTATTTATTCCCTTATTGGAATGTTACATTTTTATAATTTAAAAGCATGTTTTTTGAACATGAACAAAAAAGGTTGATTTGAACCTTGGAAACAAGCAAAAATATTTGCTAGTGAATAGTGTGAGTGATCAAACTGTCAATAACTAATTCTTAATTTTTAAAAATAACTTAAAAACCTTTGGATTTTGGGGTACCTGGGTGGCTCAGTTGGTTAAGTGTCTCACTTTCGCTCAGGTCATGATCTCACGGTCCATGGGTTCAAGCCCCACATCAGGCTCTGTGCTGACAGCTTGGACCTGGAGCCTGCCTCAGATTCTGTGTCTGCATCTCTCTCTCCCCACTCACGTTCTGTCTGTCTCTCTCAAAAATAAATAAATATTAAAAAATTTAGGGGCGGGGCGCCTGGGTGGCGCAGTCGGTTAAGCGTCCGACTTCAGCCAGTCGCGATCTCATACGGTCCGTGGATTCGAGCCCAGCGTCAGGCTCTGGGCTGATGGCTCAGAGCCTGGAGCCCCTCTCGATTACCAGTGGCTCCCTCTCTCTCTGCCCTTCCCGCATGCTCTGTCTCTCTCTGTCCCAAAAATAAATTAAAAAAAAAAAAAAAGTTGGAAAAAAAAAAAATTTAGGGGCGCCTGGGTGGCTTGGTCAGTTAAGCGTCCAACTTCGGCTTGGGTCATGATCTCACGGTCCGTGAGTTCGAGCCCCGCATCGGGCTCTGTGCTGGCAGTTCAGAGCCTGGAGCCTGTTTCAGATTCTGTGTCTCCCTCTCCCTCTCTCTCTGTCCCTCCTCTGTTCATGCTCTGTCTCTCTCTGTCTCAAAAATAAATAAACGTTAAAAAAAATAAAATAATAAATTTAAAACAACCAATGGATTTCTTTTGTGTAGTTCAATCTGTCTCTCCAAGGCATTTCCAAAAAATTCTATGCAGTGGAAGAAGTAATAGGTGGTTGCTTAAGGAGTGCTGTGAATCCCATTCACTTAGATTTTTAAATTCTGACTTCTTAACAGAAAGAGGGGTTTATTGTCTCAGTCACATGTATATGTAATATAGTGTATATTTATGCTGTATATATAAAATATGTCCCCACCTTTCTTCAAATGTACTTGGAAAAGATAATTTAGGATTTTAAAAAGTGAGTATACTTTAAAAAGTTATTTTAAACGTACTTTTTAAGAGGTATTTTGAGCTCCAGTTCTGCAGATGGGGGTCTTTGAGAAGTGTAGTCTGTTAATTAAACAAGAGTTGATATCTTGTCGCTTTGTAATACTTTAAAGAAGATTAAGCAGCTAACATCTTACCTATTTGAATGAATTAATATATTTGTACATTATATGCTGTGGCACCTGGGTGGCTCAGTCGGTTAGGCGTCCGACTCTTGATTTCAGGATTGTGGTTATGATCGCAGGATTGTAGGATCAAGGCCTATGTCAGGCTCTGTGCTGTCAGTGTGGAGCCTGCCTGGGACTCTCTCTCTCCCTCTCCTTTGTCCCTCCCCTGCTTGCATGCATGCTTGGGCTCTCTCTCAGAAAAAAAAAAAAAAAACAATGCTTTTTTTTTTTTTTTTTTTAAATGTTACCAGTCATGGGAGGAAATCCTAGTGAACGTTGTTTCCTTGCTCCCTTTATTTTGTTAACAAAGGGTAAATGGCCTCTTAAAAAAACTCTATTATGAATGAGATAACTGTGAAAAACTATTTTTTCAGGCTTCTCTTCCTTGTGCAGCATTTGTGATAGAGTGGTGAGCATAGCTGCCTTCCATCCAGACTCCTCTTCCCTACAGTAATGCTTCCAAATTTTCCTTCCTTGATCAGCACTTGATCCCTTTTTTATGTTGGTGGTTAAAGCAGTTCAGTAGGTTAAATTCTTTACGGTTTGTAAATGTAATTTTAATGTTTTTTGTTTTTGACAGCCGATTTATTTTGCATATTCCCAGCGAGGAAAGAGACAATGCTATCCGAGTGTGTTTTCAGATTGAACTTGCCCATTGGTTTTACTTGGATTTCTACATGCAGAACACACCAGGATTACCTCAGTGTGGGATAAGAGACTTTGCTAAAGCTGATATCCTTTTTTTTATTATAATGACTGTCTTTCATTATTGCTAATAAAATATTTTAGTACAGATTTCCTTTTGCTTGTCTTTGAGATTTAAAACTTACTAGATAACTATACTTGGTTTCTAAAAATTGTCAATATAAATAGTAGACACAATTTAATAGTATATGTATTTTTATCTAAAGGACCCTTTGAAATAATGCAGTGATTGTTAGAATTAAATTTGATTTTCTCTTTCAGAAATAACTACCCAGTTTCTAGAACTGACCTCTTTTTTTACTTTGTTCTTGCTGTTCCATTTAACTAGATGATCTTTAATCAAATCACTACCTTTTGGGGATAGAAATTGTTAAATAATTATTGAATATTTAATATGTTAAAAGCAATGATTTTAGTTTTGTGGCAAATACAAAGAAGTCCTTGCTTTCAAAGTTTTTTTTTTCCCATTTACAAATAAGATAGAAGCTTGTCAGTTTATTAGTTATAAAAGATACATATGAAAATTTAAAATTATAAAAGAAGCTGTTAGACGGCAAAAAAATTGGTGAATTGCTAATGGTCCCAATATTAAATGTGTTTAGAATTCAGAGATTTTTTGGGCAAAGCTATATTTGTAAGGGAATGTAGGATTTTATAAAGAGATAGGAGTGGGTAGTATGTTCCAGGTAAAGAAAAGGATTGAGCAAAATTGGAGAGTTGGAAAGAATAAGGGATACCATAGGAAGTAAATTAGTATATATTGAACAGACAATTCTTATGGGAAGATAGTAGGGAATAGGGATGGGAGGTATGTAGGGGGGATTTGTGGGTTCTTAGATCTTGAGCCAAAGTGGTTTTTATTCTGTAGGTCATTGTTTTTAACTGTAAATCATGTATTTGAATGGAATTGTAACCACAAGTTCACTGTACTGTACTAGAGTTGGAGGAAGAATGGAAATAACTCTTGTCCTCAGCTCCTAGCTATAATTTTCCTTGAGCTCCATGAAATATGGGTCAGCCCTGCCCCAGGTCTCTGCAGAAAATGGATGAAACACTTTGTTCTAGATCATTGGTAACCATAAAATTTTTTTAAATTTTTGATCAAGGCTAAGGAATATTATGCAAATCTTTTGAAATGGTATTCAAGAAGACTTAGTTGGCAGGAGAGGTTAAACCATAGGGTGGGCTGTCACATTATTTGAGATACGGAGCATTAAGGTCTTGAACCATAGTAGAGGGACTACAAAGAAAAGACTGAAGAGACATTTCAGTGGCAGAAATGATCATGCTGTTTGACTGATTAAATAATGGAGAAGTAAATGAAGAATCAAAGGGGGATAGAACTGCTATTGAACACTATCTTTGTTAAAGACTTGGTCATAGCTTTTGTGGAGAAATTATGGAGGACTTCGCTTTTAAGAAGCTGTAATCTAGTTATAGAAACGTGATCAAAACAGGCAAATCTGCTTCTGTGATCTATTTTGCATAGACTTAGGGTTCTACCAGAACAACTTTACATACTTTGGGGTTCTGGGCATGATTTTGTGTGTGTATGCACATGAGTTTTAAACTTCCCTTGCTAATAATTAAAAAAAAAGCCCAAAACTTTGTTTTGTTATGTTTATTCAGTTGTATGGAGAAAAGCCTTTCTTGCTAATGTGATAGATTTCATTAAATAAGTGAGTGTTTACTCCATGCCAGGCATTATGTAGTGAACAAAGTGGTCTCAGTCCCTGTCTTCAAGATGAGAGGAAGTTATTAGTGCAGTATGGTAAGTTACGATAGGGTACTACTGAAGAGCATAAAGTAAAAGTTGATAGCATAAGTTCTGGAGCCAGTTTACTTGGGTTAGGGTCCCATCTTTGCCATTTACTTGCCATGCAACCTTGGGCAAATTGTGGAGCTTTTCTGTACCTTTGTTTTCTTTTTTATAAATTGTGTATAGCCTTGGGATTTTTCTTCAGTAAGTGCTCAGCAAGGTCAGTATAGAATGGGCATCCTGGATTTTCTCCTGGGTTAAAGTTTTGCTTAGGGATCTATGTTCAGAGAACAGTGGGGCAAAGGAATTTTGGAAATTGCTAAGAGATTGATTAAAGTGATAAGCCATATTGTTTAGGGAAGAAAATAAAAGCAGGAGGAGGGTGCTAATGCAGACAAATGAATATAGTCAAGATCAATGTACAATAATGATATAATTAGAAGAATGCTGTAGAAAGTTATGGTCATGTAGAATGTTTAGAAGAATGCTGTAGAAAGTTATGGTCATGATGTTTTATTTCAGGCAAATTGCGGGAATAGTTTTAGTGATAGCAAGGTCCAGAATGTTGCTATGGGAATTGGTCTGAGAAGTGGGAATGGATAGGACAAGGAATACAAGGAACTGAGGCTAGAGCTTGAGAGGAGTTGTCCATGAGGAAATTTGTATCATCCAAGATAATGGCGGGATTTTGGAGGACGATTACTGTCTAAATGATGGTTATACCTGGAACAGATTTTTCATGTATTTGCAAAAATGTTAGTATAAAAAGAGTACTTAAGAAAAATTCACTAGATTATTAAAAAAAAAATTATATGTATTCTACATTCTCTATTCTTGTAAGAATATATTACAAGTGGACATGTGCTTCAAATTTTTACTTTAATCAGTATAACCTCTTAACTACGGTTGACCCATGAACAATGTGGAGATTAGGAGTCCTGACCTCTGTGTAGTATGAACTCTGTGTATAACTTTGACTCCCCAAAATTAACTGCTAATAGCCTACTGTTGACCAGAAGCCTTACCAGTAAAATTGCCAATAAATACGTGTTTTGCATGTGACATGTATTATATACTATATTCTCGCAATAAAGTAACTAGAGGAAAGAAAACATTAGAAAGATTCTTTTCAGTGTTCTAAGTATATCTTGAGCTGTAGTTGGTTCAGTCAACTCATTTTGTGGTGGTTTTGGGGTAGAAAAAAATGAGTAAATGGAAAATGTAAATAGTAGTCAGTTGATTTATAATTTCTCTTGTTAAATCTTTATTTTTTGTTTTTTTTTAAAAGTTGTTTAATGGGTAGAAAAGTAAGATAACACTAATTTATGGACATGGTGATGCACCTTGCAGTTATTAGGAACACTGTAGGAAGAGGAAAGAGGAAGAACTGCATAAGTATCTTCCTCTCTGAACTATTAGGAGTTCTTTCTGCTTCGTGCATACTTTTGTTTTTCTATGGTAAAAATTTTATTGGAAGAAATAAACATTTATTTAAGATGTATACTTAAGATTCAAAAAAAAAAAAACCTGTGATGACTTTAATCTTTATTTATTTTTGACAGACAGGAGAGACAGAGCATGAGCAGGGGAGGGGCAGAGAGACAGAGACACAGAATCTGAAGCAGGCTCCTGGCTCTGAGCTGTCAGCACAGAGCCCCACGCAGGGCTTGAACTCACGAGCCATGAGATCATGACCTAAGCCGAAGTCGGATGCCCAACCGACTGAGCCACCCAGGCACCCCAAACCTGTGATGACTTTAAAACACATAAGAGGTTTTACTAAACATATAAAGCCAGACTATTATTGGGAAGTACCTTTCCAGAATGTTAGCAGGCTTGTATAGAATGAAAGGGTTAATGTTATATCCAAGCTTTGTCCTTTTTTCTCCCTTCCCCAATTAAAGGCATTTATGCTGAGATTCTATTATAGTGAGATTATATTGTAGATTATATATTGAGGTTAACCTAGTGTCTGTCTTTTGATTACAGTGTTGTCCTAGATTGTTGACTTCTTTGGGCTCTTTGAGGGCCTCTGTAGTTTTTACTACAACTCTAAAAACCAAAACAGATTGATTGATCTATTTATTTATTTACTTACTTATTTAAATATTTGTTTACTTTTGAGAGAGAGAGAGAGAGAGAAACAGAGTGTGAGTGGGGGAGGGGCAGAGAGAGAGGGAGACACAGAACCCAAAGCAGGCTCCAGGCTCTGAGCTGTCAGCACAGAGCCTGATGCGGGGCTTGAACCCATGAACCGTGAGATCATGACCTGAGCCAAAGTCGGATACTTAACCAACTGAGCCACTCAGGTGCCCGAAAACAGATTTTTTAAATAAAAAGCTATAGAACTTATAAGATTGTTTTCATAAAATGAATTTAATACGATTTTTTTTTTTAAATCAACTGTCAGTCACAGTGTGAATATAGTGCTTCTTTAGGGTATTTTGATGTGCCTGTACTAACCAGTTTTTCCACCACCTTTCTTTGCTATATCTGTTAATGAAACCTTCCTTTCTATATTATGCTAGCTATATTCCTTTCTATATTATGCATCATTTGACCTTAATACATCATTTGTATATTAGTTTCCTCCATTTTTAGTAGACCACAGCAGTAAGTAGTACTAGTACCAATATGGTCTCTGAAATCACGTAGTACTTGATATATGTGGTCATCCAAATGATTGAAAGTATGCTCATATTACCTGTTTTTAGGTTAACATCAAAATAAAAACAATAAATGTGTTCATAAAGGACTTGAGGACCCTTAAGAATACATCCTTGGTTTGAGAAACACTGTCATAACAAATATCTTTTCCCACACTTTCCATAATTAACAGTGTTGTAGTGATGAGGCATTTGATAGAGTAGAGTATTGGAAGCCTGAGCATCTACTTTACAGGTTTAGGTTTTATCTACTTAAAAAATAAAAAATATTTTACTCTGCCCAGTATGGGGGCAGGGCATGCCCAGTTTCTTTTGAAATAGGCTATACTTAATGCCCAGATTTACTTTTCTCTATAATTCTTAGTAATTCCTCATCTTAAAAAATGTTTTTAATTATAAAACTAGTCAATACATGTGCATGGTGAAGACATTCAACAGTAGAGAATAGTGGTATACATCATCCCTAGTTCTCCTTCCCAGAGGTAACCACTTTTACTTGTTTTGGTGGTTTCTACCTTTCACCAATGTATGTATACTGTACTTCTGTTTCTTGTGATCAGTTTTAGTATTTGTTGACTCCTGATGTGGTGAATTTGACTCACTTAATGAGAAGTATTTGAGATGTTCACATGGCCCTGAATTTGTGTTAGCATAGAGCTCTAAGACTGACTATGCAAAGCTTACTTGATTTGTGTCCAGCTGAATGCAGAAGCTAGCAATGACTTGTTCAGGAGAAAACAAAGAGGGGAGGAGTAGTGACCAAGAAGGAGGAACAAAACTTAGGTGAAGATTTGAGTAATTTCATATAAAATTCATAGTTGATTTAAATAGGTTTCTTTTTATATATAAGTACTCAAGCTATATTTAGAGAGAAAGTAGCTTCCTTAACACTATGTATACTCTTCAGTCACTGTCCATTTTTGCTGCCTCAAGGTGAAGATGTGGAAAAAATTTTGGATGAATGGAAGGAATATAAAATGGGAGTACCAACATATGGTGCAATTATTCTTGATGAGACACTTGAAAATGTGAGTGTAATAAAAGATTTTTAGTGCAATCATCACCTGTTTTCATCATAAATAAAATGTATGTGCTATTTATATAATGTTCTGAACTGAGGTTTGAAAATAGACTTTTAGTGCTGAAAGGCCAAAGTTTGTATATTTTTTCTGCATTCTGAGTCCCAATATTTTATACTTGTAGTATGACTTATTGCAAAGAAATGTCACTTTATTGAAGAAATACTTTAAAATGGGCAGAATGCCCATCTTCATACTGGTATAGTGAGACTTTTGGAAGATATTAAAACCAAGTACTGTATAAAAATATTGGTGATAACAGTTACTTGAAGGAAGGTTACTTCAAACACCTTTGACCTAGAAAGGAGTGTGGGAAAGGAAGGCAAGTTTTATTTTTACCTCTGCTCATTTTTATAGGTACTACTGGTTCAGGGGTACCTAGCAAAATCAGGCTGGGGATTTCCAAAAGGAAAAGTAAATAAAGAAGAAGCTCCTCATGATTGTGCTGCTAGAGAGGTGAGTTACTGCAGTTTGAAACACGGTAGCATTCGGTAATTATGCTTTGAGTAAAGTACTTTTTAGTCATGAAAATTTACTGTTTGGACCATCTAATCCACTTTCTAGAACTTGACTGCAAGAAGTAACTTATCTTTTGTAAGGTGACTGTTAATTCTTTTGTCCACATGTATCATTTATTCTTCCCTTATTTGTTTCCGTTTTCTTTTATTGTCCATTTTTAATTCTGTTATCTCTAACTCCTTCTCTACCTTGTTTTAAAATTGGATTTGCAGTTGGTAAAACACTTTGGCATTTACAACCCCTGTTTTATGTTTATTGTCTTGGCTACCAGGCAAGTGCACAATTTGTGCTTCCTTAAGAAATTTACATTTGTTGCTCAAACCCACTCTACCTTCCCACTGCCTGTAAGATGAAGTTTAATTCTTTAAACTATTGAAACTCCATCCCTTATTCCTGACACAAAATTTAGCCATTTCTAAATTTACCTTTATTCTCAGTCAAAAGAATTTATTCTCTGTTACTTGAACTTAACTGATTTGTTTCAGCCTCTAAACTTTGCTTATATTATCTCCTTACTCAGAAAGTTGTCTTTTCTTCCTAACTATTCAAATCCTATCTAGACCGAGCTCAAATTATGACTTTTCTTATTTGTAAAGTGAGGTTTAGCGTGAATAACTTCTTTTTTTCTTTTTTTGAATGTTTATTCATTTTTTGAAAGAGGGAGAGAGAGAGCACAAGCAGAGGAGGGGCAGAGAGAGAGGAGACAAAATTCAAAGCAGGCTCCAAGCTCTGAGCTGTCAGCACAAAGCCTGATGGAAGACTCAAACTCATGAACCATGAGATCACGACCTGAACGGTTGGACGCTTAACCTGACTGAGCCACCCAGACGCCCCCCCCCCCTTTTTTGTTTTAATTGAGGTGTAGTTTATACACAGTGTTAGTTTCAGGTGTAGACTAGAGTGGTTCAGAAAATCTGTATACATCAATGCTATGCTTACCACAAGTGTAGCTATCATTTGTCACCATACAACGCTATTACAATACCATTGGCTGTGTTCCCAATACTGAATCTTTTGTCCCTGTGTTTTATTTATTTCATAACTGGAAGCCTGTACTTACACTACCCTTCATCATTTTGTTCCTCCCCTAAACCACCTCCCCTGTGGCAGCCATCAGTTTGTTTTCTTGTACTTGTGGATCTTTTTCTGCTTTTTGTTTTTGTTTAAAAAAATTTTTTTTTTTAATGTGTATTTATTTTTGAGAGAGACAGAGACAGAATGTGAGTGGGTTAGAGGCAGAGAGAGACGGAGACACAGAATCTGAAGCAGGCTCCAGGCTCTGAGCTGTTAGCACAGAGCCTGATGTGGGGCCCGAACCCACAAGCTGTGAGATCATGACCCAAGCTGAAGTCGGACGCTCAACCAACTGAGCCACCCAGGCGCCCCTGTTTTTGTTTTTTTAGATTCCAAATATAAGTGAAATAATATAGTAATGTCTTTCTCTGACTTATTTCACCTAACATCATACCCTCTAGACTATCCACGTTGTTGCAAATGGCAAGATCTCATTCTTTTTTTTGTGGCTGAGTAGTATTCGTGTGTGTGTGTGCACGCGCACGCACGTACGTACGTGTATGTACGTACGTGTGTACGTACCCCACATCTTCTTTATCCATTCATCTATCGATGGGCACTTGGGTTGCTTCCATGTCTTGGTTATTGTAAATAATGCTGCAATAAACATAGGGGTGCTTATGCCCTATATTAGGGTATGTGTAAAAACACTGCTTCAAATTAGTGTTTTTGTATTCTTTGTGTAAATACTAGTGGAATTATTGGATCATATAGTATTTCTATTTTTAATTTTTGAGGAACCTCTATGCTCTTTGCACAGTGGCTACACCAGTTTGCATCTCCACCAGCAGTGCACGAGGGTTTCTTTTTCTCCACATCCTCACCAGTACTTGTTATTTCTTATCTTTTTGATTGTGGCCATTCTGTAGAGTGAATAATTTCTAAAGTTCATTCATATTTTCTTTTTAATTTTAGAGAGCACATGGGAACGGGGGAGAGGGGCAGAGGGAGGGAGAGAATCTTAAGCAGGCTCAGTGTGGAGCCCAATGTGGGACTCGATCCCCCATCTCTGGGATCATGACGTGAGCCAAAATCAAGAGTCAGACACTCAACCAACTGAGCAAACCAGGCATCCCTAAGGTTCTTTCTTAATTAAAATTCTGTTTATTTTAAAATTTAACCAGTGAGCTCTATCCTATAGTAGTCTCTGAACTTTAATAACAGTTGTTGTCTAGACATTTGCTTGGCATTAATTATGTAGTACCTGTTATACGTTGTGGACTGTATTCTTGTTATACAAGAATTCTTTAAACTATTGAAACTATTAAACTATTGAAATAAGCCTTATTAGGCCCCCAATTCCTTATCATTTATCACATTAAATCTTCTTGAAATTTGAGAAGTTGAGCTATAAAGAAGCACAATATAATGGAGAGAGAACTGCTCTAGGAGTTGAAGATTTGTTCCAGTACGTTTCTAGTAAATGCTAGTCTATATCCTAGAGACTTTGGGTGAGCCACTTAATCTTTGTAATAAGATACACATACTATTAAGAGTTATTTAAGGGCTTCATAACTAGAAGTAAATATCTTTAAAATCTAAGGTGGTAGTGATTAACTTTGAGATATTTTTGAGACGGCAGTATGGATTTTATGGCATATTTCATTTGGATCTGTTGCCTTACTTTGTCTTGACTCAGTATTTTCCTGTAGCAACATTCACCTTGTTTAAGTTTGGATGTAATTATTGGTGAGTGATAGTAATTAAAATTCTTACAAACCACTAACATATTTATTTAACATAGAAAAACCATTAGTGGTTATTTACTTTGGAGTAGGATTTAAAAAATGATTGAAAATGCTACATTTCTAATTCAGTATGGAACGCTTTCTTAAGTAAGTATTTGCAATAGCTTATAGACCAATAATACAAGTAAATGAAGGTTTACCCACACCCCTTAAAATTGAAAGGTAACAGGTGAGAAATTGACACATCCTCTAAGACCTTTCCCTTTCTGTGGATAGTAGGAGACTGAATGGAGCGGTTGTAAAGTCTTCCCTTTTATGTCTTTAAATTTTGTGGTCCTCATGCTCATAAGGAAGACAAAATAGAAAGCTTAGCATCCTACTTAGAGGAATTGATCGGTAATCCTGTACGTAGAGTTAGACTGGTCCTATAGCAGTATGATAATTGTCTGGGTCCAGAAAAGAGACTACATTAACTGGAAAACGGGCTAAATTTGGTGAGATCAGCTGTCTCTGTAATTGGATCTTTTTGAGGAAACTTAGAGAACATCAAATATTTAAATTTGCAAAGCTGAAGTAGTACCCCAGACCCAAGGGATCATCTACATCTACCACTAGAACCTTCCTTCTGACAAATTTTATACACTATATTGTAAGAGGCTGGGTGATGCAGAAATATAGGATATGGGGGTGGGCAGAGGCAATTAACCTGTGAACTGAGGCACTCAGTTTTCACTTCAGTTTATCTTGTTTTCTACTCTGAAATACTAAGATAAAAGATTGTCCTATTCATGTGGTGCTAATTTCAGTAATAATTCTAGATCACCATAATTTGTAAGAAAGAAAAAGTTTATTAGGGCATGGGGAATGAGAGAATGGAGTGTAAATGATAGGATGCTACAGAGAATCTTGTGGGGAGGGATACAGCCATTATGGAAGAGGATCAGCTCCATTTTATAGGAGAGGAACTGAAACAGATCAGTTTAGTAACATGCCCAAGGCCTCACAGTGAGCAGCAGAACAGGGATGCAGAACCTTGGTTGGGCTCTGGAGTCCATGTTTCTGATTACTACAATATAGGCAGTCAAGGAATATTTGTAAATGGGTATTTCTAAACACACAGAGATGGAAACAGAAGGAATTTGTGATTTTTAAGTACTGTGTATCTATTTTCTAATAACGTTTACCTTTCTCAGGTGAATATGTATAAGTTGTTTTTTTTTTTTTTTTCTGTTTTAGAGCTTTTGCCTTGCTCTGAGTAAAGCATAGGTATTCTTAGAAACCATAGACCCTTAATTTCAAGCAAAGACTTTTTCCTTTTGATAGTAAGAATTAATCCTTTTAAACTTTCAGATCTAAGTAACATCCTCTTTTAGCTGATAAAGGAACATGTCAGAAAAAAACTTGTCTTTAATTTTTCTACATTTTTGGATTAGAATTTGATTTTTATTTTTGGTTTTTAAATGGTTGCCTTTGTTATAAAGAGAGAAAAATTTGGGGGTTAAGGTTGAGCAATTCCTATATTAGTCCAGTCAGGCTGCCATAACAAAATACCACAGATGGAGTAGCTTAAACTCAACAGAAATTTAAGTTTTAGAGGCTGAGAAGGCCAAGATCAAGGTTCCTGGTGAGGGTTCTCATGCTGGCTTGCAGGTGGCTGCTTTCTTGCTTTGTGCTCATGTGGTCTTTTTCCTGGGTGCCTGTGTGAGTGCAGAGAGCTCGCCCTTTGTTGTCATCTTATAAGAACAAGCCCAACCTTAATGTCCTTATTAGGCCCCCAACCTTATGTCCTCATTTTACCTTTATCGCCTCCTCACAGGCCCTATTTCTAAATACAGTCAGTCGCATTAAGGGTTGGGCCTTCAACTTAGGAATTTTGGTAGGACAAAGTTCAGTGCAAAGCAGCTGCCATTTTCGAGTTTGAAAGTGTTCAACTAGCAGTCCTAGACTTGTAGTGTATGTTTCTGCCACTTGGTGGTGCTGCAGTATAACAGAAGCAGTGCTGTGTGGCCCTGGTGGGGGGAGTATCACCAGTCTTAGCTTAAAACCAGATTGTTATTTTTTGTAAGAGTTCATGTTAATATTACAGTTTTCCTTTTAATTTTCACTTGTATTAACCTGTCAGGAAGTGTTCTATCTGAAATTTTTTAGCTGCCATTAAACTTAGGCTAATGCTTTAAACTTTTTTTTCTTTTAATTTTTTTTTCTTTTAAGTTACGTGTTTCTGTCATGAGTGTTTAAGCTTGTTTTAAGTTGCTAAATAACATTTTAATTTGGTTTATTATAGTTAAGTTAATGTTGTTATTTCATTATATGTGGCTGTCCAGAGGTATTTTGTTAAAGCAGAATCTGATCCATCTTATAAGAACTGTTTATGTGATCTGAGCTGAAAGAAACACTGAAAGCAGGTTCCTCAGGGACAAGGTATGAATAATTAATAGAAAGTTTAGTGCCATCTTTTTTTTTTTTTTTTTTAGTTTATTTATTTATTTATTTACTTACTTACTTACTTACTTACTTATATAATCTCTACAGCCAACATGAGGTTTGAACTCATGACCCTGAAATCAAGAGTCGCAGGCTCCTCTGACTGAGCCAGCCAGGTGCCCCAACCTTAGTGCCATCTTGATTAGAAATTTCCTGTCTTTAACCTTTTGGTTCACCTTTGTTAATTGGGTTCTGTTACCTTTTTTTTTTTTAATTTTTTTAATTTATTTTTTTTGAGAGAGAGAGAGAGACAGACAGACAGACAGGGTGTGAGCGGGGCCTGGCAGAGAGAGAGACACAGAATCTGAAGCAGGTTCTAGGCTCTGGGGTGTCAGCACAGAGCCTGACATGGAGCTCGAATCCAAGAACCATGAGATCATGACCCCGAGCCGAAGTTGGATGCTTAACCCTCTGAGCCACCCAGGCGCCCCAAGTTCTGATTACTTTTATTCAGTGAAGTAGATTTAGGACAAGGATGGGAAAATGTTTTCTAGAGATTGTTGAAAGGATGTGTTAGGATAACTTCAGTATATTTTCATTGTTAATTGTGGTGAAATACCAGTTGAATAAGCAAGTGATTCCTGTTTTCAGGATTTCATTTTGTTGCTTACTATTTAGCAAAACAGTATATTTTATTGTAATGAAGCTGACTTTAATATGCATTTACATAACTTAATCTTGATAGAATTTGTACAGAGGAACAATTGGTTGGTTTATTCTACTTCTTCCTATAGGTTTATAAAGATATTAGATAATAGGGAGAGGATTTCATTGTGCTGGTGCTCTTTGGGCAGCACATTTTTTAATCTTACTTAGGGATTTTTATCTGATATCATTTGAGAAGTTACTGCTATTCTCTGTGCCAGGAAAATTAACTATGTACTATAATACAGGAATGGATTTGATCCATAGAAGATGTGGTATCAAAATTTTTGTCTTTGATGTCTGTGTATGTGAGTGAGCTATTAAAAGCTTTTCCTGGTAAATATGATAAGAATGGATACCTAACTTTATTTTTTATTTTGAGAGAGAGTGTGTGTGTGTGAGTGGGGAGGGGCAGAGAGAGGTAGAGAGAGAATATCTATCCCACCTGGGGCTCCCAACTCCTGAACTGTGAGATCATGACTTGAGCCGAAATCAAGAGTTTGGTATTTATTTGACTGAGCCACCCAGGCGCCCCTGGATACCTAACTTTAGAGGCAAATCAATCTTCATCACTTCTAGAATTGGGAGTTTATATCTGTTACTTTATTATATTTGTTCTAAGTTTGGTTGTACAGGGTTTGAAGCTATGTTTAGCGCTGATGGCTCTTTTCATTTTACCTCATATTGTACCACTTCCATATGATTCTTCAGCTATAGTCTTTCCCAGCTCTAAGCGGAATGCCATTTTCCTATCTGGCAAACTCCTATTCATCTTTCAAGTCCAGCTCAGGTGTATCCAGCGGACTAGAGTGCTGTCCATGACACCTTGTTGAGATAACCACCCTATTTCACAACTCACACCTTACCTTAACCCATGACTGAGTTATGTATTCCTACAGTATCCACCTACCTCTTGGCATGTATATTGTATTACAATTATTTTCCTTTTTAGGCTGAGTTCCTTAAAGAGCAGTGCTTGCTTTATTAATTTCTGAAGTCCGTGTGTAGGATGGTACCTGTTACTTATTAATAAGCACACAGTACATATTTGAATGCACTAAATGCATTACTATTGAGATAATTACAAGTAGTATAGAGCAAAATAAAGAACAGTAACACAAAGAATATATTTGCCTATTAATATTTTGCCATATTTGATTTATTACATTTGATACATATGTGTGTATGGTTTTTATTATTATTGCTGAATAACTTGGGAATAAAATGCAGACATAATGCCCCTTAATCCCTAAATACTTATGCATGTAAATTTTTTTTTAAGATAAGTGTACTCTTTTTTGGCGGTGGGGGGGGAGAGAGCATGTGTGCACGTGTACGCAAACCAGTGAGGGGCAGAGAGAGAGGGAGAGACAATCCCAAGTGACAGCCTGATGGCAAGGCTCGATCTCACAAACCATGAGATCATGACCTGAGTTGAGATCAAGACGCTTAATCAACTGAGCCACCCAGGTGCCCCTCTTTCTTTTTTTTTTTTTTTTTTTTTTCTTAAAAAAATTTTATGTTTTTAAAATTTTTTAATATTTTTTGAGAGAGAGGGAGAACACAAGTAGGGGAGGAGCAGAGAGACAGAATCTGAAGCAGGCTCCAGGCTCTGGGCTGTCAGCACAAAGCCCAACACGGGGCTCAAACTCACGAACCATTAGATCATGAACCTGAGCTGAAGTAGGGCTCTTAACTAACTGAGCCACCCAGGTGCCACTCTTTCTTTTTTTAAATACCAAGTATATACATGCACACCCAGTCTGACATTTCCAGAAGTAGGAAATACAAGTAATGTTTCTCCTTTTTCTGTATACCACAGAACATTTTTCAAGTGAGTATATTCACCTTGCTTTTAAGATAAGGAACAAAAGGTTTAGCATACTTAGGAATTTATAGAAGTGAGGTGTCATGGAGGAGCCTAAGTTGGGAGTCATGGACTATACATGCCTGAGAGAAGGAGAGATGTGCCTTTTTTGAGGAATGTAGAAAGATGTACATCGAACTGACAAGAGAAGGCAGAAAGATGAAAGAAATGAGTAGGAATAGCTCCTCTACACCTGGATCTTGCAAGAGATTCAGCCCTGGCCATATGTTTTAATATCTTCTGCCCCACTGGTTGGTTAGGAGATGCTGAAACCAGAGGGAACGACTTACTACAGTGTAAAAGATCCTCAGTGGACTTTAGACACTGAGAATCCAAAGCCTTTTTGATTGGGGGGTGAAGTGGAGAAGGACTTCATCAGAGTAACACATGTTATTTGAAGAAGAACTTTAAGGCTAGAAGAGATGAGTAGTTTTTTTATTTTACACAGAAGCCCAATTTGTTAATCAGAGTAAGTATGGTTTCTTTGGTTGAAGGAAGAGGTAAAGGTTGGATGTAACACCAATTCCTGAGATGTATGTTCTCCCAGTTCCTCCTCCTCCAGCCCCTGAGGGAAGGCAGTTTTAGAACCATGCGTCTGTCTTTTCACTAGTTTTCAGTTCTTTTGCGTTTGCCCCCCACTCACACACAAATGAGGTTGTAGCTCTACTTTTGAAATCTGTCCGTAAAAAAAAGTTAGCATTAATCACAATTCAGTTTTCATGTTTGAAAAATAGTTTTATTTGTGTAAGAGTTTTTAGTCTGTAACTTGGTGTATGTAGATTCATATGTGCTGTTAATAAAATCATATGTGGTCCCAGCTTAAGAGTTCTGGACCCAATTACAATGAGTGTGTGTGGTGGTGGAGGTGGGGATGGCTGTTGTTCTCACACCAACAAGCAATTGACAAACACTGGCTGCGTGTCCTATAATTCAGCTCAATTCTGGATAGAATCTCAATACCTGGATAGAATCAAATCCCACAGGTTAAGGGACTCCTACAAGACTGCCCTTCACTTCAGATGACAGTCATAAGTCCAGGTTTCTGGACTGTCATCTGAATTTCTGTATTTCTGACCTAGATTGGAGGTTCCAGTGGCCCCCCTCCTTGGGTTCAGTTAATTTGCTAGAATGGCTCTTTTAACTGAGAAAAACTGGTTTATTTAAAAGGATATATAACTCAAGAACAGCCAGATGGAAGAGATGTAGAGGGCAAAGTATGGAAAAAGGGTGCTCTCTCCTACTGTACCACTCTTCCCAAATCTCCATGTTCATTAACCCAGAAGTCACCGTCCAGTTCCCCACCCCTCGGCCTCTTGGGTTTGTATAGAGGTGTCTTTGTGTAGGCAGTCTTGATTAAATCACTGGCTGTTGGCTTTTTGAGCTCAATCTCTAGGCTTTCTCTCCTTCCTGGTGATGGGAGGAGGGTGGGGGTTGAGGGTGGGACTGAAAGTTCCAGTCCTCTGAACTTGGTTGGTTCTCCTGGCAGTCAGCCCCCATCTTTAGGTAGGGGCCAGAAGTTACCTCATTAACATAACAGAAGACATCCTTGTGGCTTTCATGCTTAGGAAATTCTGAGGGTTTTAGGAGGTTTGTACCAGAAAGGTGATGAAAACCAAATAATATATTTTTCTTATTGTAAACCGCAGTATCACACATCTTCCTTCATTGAATAGGTGAAGAACTTAGGCTCAGATATATTAAAGGGGTTTATCCATAGTTGAACAATTCAATAGAGGCAGAACTAGAACCCTAGAGCATTCTGACTTCTTGCCTAGTGTTTTCATGCCTTTACTTGCCTGGATATTTCTGAGTTTTTGCCTTTGAAGTAAATTTTAACAAACTGGAGGTCTAACAGCAGCAATTGAAAATCATCATCCAAATTTATTTCCAGGTCTTTGAAGAAACTGGTTTTGATATCAAAGATTATATTTGTAAGGATGATTACATTGAACTTCGAATCAATGACCAGCTTGCTCGTTTGTACATCATTCCAGGAATTCCAAAAGACACAAAATTTAACCCAAAAACCAGAAGAGAAATTCGGGTATGTAACTGAAAGAATTTTCAAGTTGCTAGACAGTATTCAAGTTGCAATTCAATGAAGTAGGAAATTGCTTTTGGAAACTCCTTGATGATAATTCAGTGAATTCTTTTCTTCTGTCTCAGAACATTGAGTGGTTCTCCATTGAGAAATTGCCCTGTCATAGAAATGATATGACTCCAAAATCCAAACTTGGTTTGGCACCTAACAAATTCTTTATGGCCATTCCCTTTATCAGGTATGTCCTTGTTTATCAAAATACTAAAGTAATCTTCATAATTCTGATAGTTTCTTTACGTAGCCCAGTTTTAAAAGTGAATTCTTAATGTTTCCATAGGCCATTAAGGGACTGGCTTTCTCGGAGATTTGGAGATTCCTCAGACAGTGACAATGGATTTTCCTCTGTTGGTAGCACACCAGCTAAACCCACTGTGGAAAAATTGAGGTAAAGAAATACATTCATAGGATTCCTACCTCCTGATAGTTTTTTTTTTTCTTAATTTTTATTTATTTTTTGAGAGGGAGAGAGAGAAACAGAGCACGAGTGGGGGAGGGGTAGAGAGAGAGAGAGGAAGACACAGAATCTGAAACAGGCTCCAGGCTCCAAGCTGTCAGCACAGAGCCTGACATGGGGCTCAAACTCACGGACTGCAAGATCATGACCTGAGCCAAAGTCAGACACTTAACCAACTGAGCCACCAAGGTGCTCTTACCTTCTGATAGTGTTTAACACTAATGTATTACTTCCAAAGTTTCCAGAGGTGTTGAATTCTTTTCTGTAGGTACTATTTTGTTACTAGTCTCATAGATAATAGAAATTTTTTTATAAAGGGTTTTTAATGAGGTGAAAAAGGTTAATTGGAGTTGGAAAGGAGCTTCAGGCTCATTTTAAAATAGTATACACAAGAGGGTACCACCTTTTTAGATGGATAGAACATGAGGAAAAAAAAAATCTGTGTGTTTATAGTTACTTCTCTATTCTTATATCCTACTTTAAGAGGAAGTTGAATCTGAAGGTGGTTGAATGGAAGATATGTTGAGGTTTGTTTTTGTGTAGGGAGATGAGTGCAGATGAGTAATTTGTTCAGAAAGATAGAACTGTGAAGACGTGGGGTGGCTTCTCTTCTTTCCAACATAGACTGTTGTACTGCAAAAAGTGACTGTTATGTGGACAGGAACCACAAAGAACATTTTCTTGGTTGGAACTTAATTGTATCCAAATCAAAATTACAGAGTAGGCTGAGTAAGGAATTTTGTTAAATAAGCATGTATGTTTGTAATAAGCTTGCTAGAACTTTGTTAGGTTCAGAGAGAGTTGCATTTTACATTTTCTTTAATTTAATTTAATGTTCTGTTTTCATCCCAGGGCTTCAAAAATTAAACAGGAGTAACCACATTTATAGTCAGTATTTTTAAATACATAGGGAATATTCCATTTTAGCTGGGTTTTATGAGGACAGGAGTTTGGACTAAATGCCCTGAGAATCATTTCTGCCTTTCAGAACCTATGGTTATAATCACCACATTATATACTACTAAAGTAAAACACTGTAGAAAAAGTAGACAGGAGTGTAGGCAAAATTAAAAAGAGACAAACGTGCAACTAAAAAGTTATGAAATAGTGACACTGGAAAAAAAATTGTATGCTTATTCATATTTGGGTCCACCATAATGTGTGATAGGCCTCCCCTATCTTCTAGTCCTAAGCTTTGTGGTCCTGGAAGGTGGAATAAGGACATAATAAAGCAGCTTTAACCAAATTTCAAGTTTCTTAGGCGGGGATAGTGTGTTTTTAGCATATAGACTAATGTCTTTGGTGATGTGTTAGAGGAAATACCTGAATTTTGTCTCAAGAAAGTAGGGATGCTGCAATTTTATTATAATTAAAAAAAATTTTTTTTAATGTTTATTTATTTTTGAGAGAGAGAGAGAGAGACAGAGTGTGAGCCGGGGAGGGGCAGAGAGAGAGGGAGACATAGAATCTTAGGCACGTTCCAGGCTCTGAGCTGTCAGCACAGAGTCCCAACGCAGGGCTCGAACTCACAAACTGTGAGATTATGACCTGAGCCAAAGTCAGACACTTAACCGACTGAGCCACCCAGGCGCGCCTATTATAATTTTTTAATGGGAAAGGAGAAGAACTCTCAAGTATTCAGAAGCAATCACTGTAATGCAGTTCTTTGGATCAGTGACTCTGGACTGTATTATACATGTAAATGGTACTGTAGAATATTGGTTTTTTTGTTTTTTATTACGGACCAGTGCATGAGTACAACCTTTTACAATCAAATTCTTTCATATAAGAATTTGAAACCAGACCTTTATTTAATTTGCTCATCTATTGTCTTCAGCTCCTTAATTTTTTTTGCCCTAGAATATAGCTTAAATTTTCAGTTCCTCTTCTACTTCAAATTCCATACTTTAAACATCCTGGTGAGAATGTGAGTTATCTGTCCTATTAAGAAGGAATATCCACTTACATTTGTTAGTTTCAACTAAATTTGGAATTATTTTCTTGAGATTTTTAAAGGTATGATCAGTTATAGGGGGAGGTAATGTGGTTAATTTAGAAAAGTTTGGGATTAAAAATAATACTTAGTTCATTCAAAAAGTAGTGAACACCAGGCCTTCACTGACTGTGTCCTTATGTAAGGTACATCCCAGTGCAGGGAGATGATAAATAAGAAGGTAAAGTTTGTAATCTGGTGTTAGAAGAACTTTAAATGAAAATTTTCTGATCTGAATTTTATTTTTTAAATCTTGGTATAGTCGAACCAAATTCCGCCACAGTCAGCAGTTATTTCCTGAAGGTTCTCCTGGTGACCAGTGGGTGAAACACAGGCAACCACTGCAGCAAAAGCCATATAATAATCATTCTGAAATGTCTGACCTTTTAAAAGCAAAGGTGAGTGATAATACATTTAAAGATTTTTCTAACTTTAGATTTGATTTTGAAATGTATCTGAATCGAAGAACTGCAGATTAACAGTTAAAGAGCTCTGAATTGTTGATCAACGATTGCTGCATTCCTGACTTGTGATTTGAAGCACGGCTGAGTCTTCTTAACCTTTACAGTTTTGCTGTAAATCCAGTGTAGTAAGTAATCAGAATTAACGTCTGACTTTGGTATATATGCAACCAGTGAAAGGGTGATTGTTGTATTGAATTTAGTGCATGATTATACCACACTTCATCCATTCTACTCTTAATAGACATTTTGGATGTTACCTGTTTCAGGCTTTTATAGACAATACTACTATGAATATTTCTGTACATATCTTTGGATGAGCATACACCGTTCTTTTGTGTATAGGTAACAAACAGAATTTTTGGATCCCTGGATATACCTGTGTTCTTCAGTATATGCTGCAAACAATATTCTCAAGTAATTTTATATCCCCAACAAAATATATGAGAGCTTGAGTTGTTCCACATTCTTACTAATTCTTGGTATTATCTGCCTTTATCATTTGAGCTACTCTTGTTTATTTTCATTCTTTTAAAAAATATTCTGGGTTCATCAAAATTACAAACTTTTTGCATTGAAAAGTACAATTAAAAGTGGTTATAGTGTTAAACTTTATGTATATAGTATCACACTAAAAAAACAGATACCCGGAAGAGCAGGATAAAATTGAATTAAAAGTGTGTGGTAATACGAGTTTCTGAAAGCCAATTTCCTTACCATCCTTTTTTTTTTTTTTTTTTAATTTTAGTTTTTATTTTTATTGGGAGTATAGTTGACAATGTTACACTAGTTTCAGGTGTACAACATAGTGATTCAACATCTCTATATGTTATGCTGTGCTTACCACAAGTATAGCTACCATTTGTCACCATACAGCCACCATACAGCTCCATTACAATGTGATTGGTTATATTCCCTATGCTTTGCCTTTTATTCTTGTGACTTACTCCATAACTGGAAGCCTGTATCTCCCACTCCCCTTCACCCATTTTGCCCAGCCCCCTACCTCTCTTCCCTCTGGCAACCATCAGTTTGTTCTCTGTTCCTTATCATTAAGTTAGCTTACTGTTTTCAAGCTATTTTAGGAACTGCTTAATTTTTTCTGTAGGTATTAGATAGGATATAAATAAATGTATTTTGGTATATTTTAAAATATAAAATATTTTATTCACACTGTTTTAGTCAGTTCTCTTAACTGTCCTTTCAAAACCTCTAAGGGCAAATTAATGTTTAAAAACTATTTTGGGGGGCACCTGAGTGGCTCATTCTGTTAAGCATCCAACTTCAGCTCATGATCTCAAGGTTCGTGGGTTCGAGCCCTGCGTTGGGCTCTGTGCTGACAGCTAGCTTTGGGTTTCGTGTCTCCATCTCTCTCTGCCCTTCTCTTGCTCATGTGTGCTCTTTCTCAAAAATAAACATTTAAAAAATTTTAAAAACTTTTTTAAGTTAAACTTAGATATTTTTTTGGTAAGAAAATTAACTCATGTTAAAGCACTACAATTGCAAGATGTCATCTACTGAATGTTTAGGCTTTAGGTCTAAATTTAGGGATAATGGCCTAAACGTTAAGAATACCAGTCTTGGGGCACCTGGGTGGCTCAGTCGCGTCTGACTCTTAGTTTCGGCTTAGGTCATGATTTCATGGTTTGTGGGTTAGAGCCCTGTGTCAGGCTCCATGTGGAAGTGCGAAGCCTGCTTGAGATTCTCTCTTTCCCTCTCTCTGCCCCATGGGTGTGTGTGTGTTCTCTCTCTAAATAAATAAATGAATGAATTTTTAAAAATTCTCTCTTTCTTTCCCTCTCTCTTCTTCTGCTTCTGCCTTACTTCCATGGACTCTCTCTCTCTCAAAAAGAAAAAAAATACCCCGCTCCCATTTTTTTTTTGACTCAGGCATTGTAAACAAAATCTGTAGATAGAAATGGGATAAGGCAAGATTGCTAGGGACCTTGTATTTGCCATTTCATACCTTTAGAGGAATCTTGGCTTTGTGAAGCACTGTCTTCTATAAGAAAATATTGATATGGTATGGTTCCCCAGTGTTTTAGGAAAATTTGGGGGAGGACTTTGCTAAACTCTTAATCAACCAGCTAATTATATATATATATATATATTTTTTTTTTTCCCCACATATTCTTGGCGTTATATTCTTTTGTCTTATTACATTATACTGTAGATTTATATTTTATTTCTTCTTATTGGAAAAACAGAATCAAAGTATCAGGGGAAATGGCAGAAAACAGTATCAGGACTCACCTAATCAAAAGAAAAGAACAAACGGGGTCCACAGCCAGCCAGCCAAGCAGCAGAATCCCTTGATGGTAAGACTTAACAGTTCTAATGCTAAGAAGGCAGTTCACCCTTTTTAGGAGAGGAGCAAGGGCATTGTCAAGGCACGTTGAATTAATATATTGACAGATTTTTGTGGGGTGAAATTGTGCGTTATTTGCTCACTTAAAATATCTGGCTACTCTCAGTTACAGGTTTCTAACATTCAGCTGCACGTCTAATTTTTTTATGTAGGTATTTAAATATTATTAGTACTATGAAAACAATGCATAGTCAACCCTGCTTTCTAGAAAGAGCAAGTCCTCATCTATTTTTCTGTCTGTATTTTTCTAAATAGAGTCTGTATTTTAATAAAGTTAATAGTTAAGAAGAATATCACTGTTTTTTTTTTTTAAGTTGATAGAATTTAGAAAATTAAAATGTAGCTGGTGCCATAGCCTTTAGACTAGGGCTAAAGACAAATAACTGACCATTTTGCTCCAGAAAGTAATTCATAATTAATGGGTCTCCTTGCTTATCCTTTCTGCAAGTCCTGGTATTTGTCTGTTGAATTTTCTTATAGTTTCATCTACTTTTCTTTTTTTAATAAGTGGGTGAAAATAGTAGTTTTAAGGTTTTAGCAAAAAGTTTTTTACCTGAGTTCCTAGGTGCTGTTTACCTAACTTGTGTTTTGATTTCACAGGCAAAGACATGTTAAAGATCAGTTTACTTTTAGACTACTTGCCTCTTACTCTTATACTTTTTTCCTGTCTGATTGACACAGATGAAAAGAGAGCCATTTGTATATTGTTGAGTGTGCTGACAACACTTAAAAATAACCAGTTGGTATAACCTTCTAGAGAGTAGTCTGATTGTATGGCAAGGCGGAAGAGGTTCTTAAAGTGTTTCCCTAGAAGAAAATTTTAAAGAATGTTCATCCCATTTCTCTTTTTAATAATAAAAACTTGGAAATAGTCTATCCAAGAATATAATAATAAATGTAAATCCTAGGACTCTGTAGTTGTTAAAGATAATGGTGTGGATTTCTATTTATTCAAAAAAGAATACATTCAGAGTATATTACATTTTAAAAGTAGGTTATAGAGTAGTCTTATGTACTGGATAATTCCACTTAATTCATTGTAATTATACATGGATTCACAGTATCTTCATAGAGAAAAAGCTAGAAAAATACACTGAAATGTTAAGAGTAATTCTCAGGGTTCAGAAAATTAATGAATAATTTTCTTTTTCCTGGTGTTTTTAAATTTTACATGTTATCAACTAAAAAAAGTTTTAGGCTTAAAATAAATAAAAATACAAGTACGGACTAGGGATGGTGATTATATTCCTGGTTTAATTTTCTTCCTGATAAATTTGATAATACACCTCCTCATTTATATTAAGTGAAATGACTACGGAGGGTATGTTGTGTTTGTGTTTTTCTTAATAGAAATGTGAAAAAAAACTTCATCCACGAAAACTTCAGGATAATTTCGAAACAGGCAAGTCATTTTCTTTTTAAAATCTCTGGTGGGATTCGGTTTGGTTTTGACCTAACCTTGATTTTAGTCAAGAGTGTAACGGACTATGATAGATGAATAGGAAGAATTGCACATGATCTGTAGAGAGTTCAGGTATGTGGTCACGTTCTCTAAATAGGAAACTGACTAAACTGAACTTATTTAAGTGATCAAGATGAAACGATTTTCCCTTTCAGTGTGCTATTTTTGTGTGTGAATGTCAAACTGTGCTATCCATGAATATTGTAAGTAAATACTAGTTAGAGGGGGATAGAACCTAGTATTGTAGAAGTGAGGAGACTTCATTCTCATATATGTTAAGAGGAGCACTTATTTCGGAAGGAGAATATTTCCCACTTTCAGGAGGTAATGAGCAACTTTAAGGTGGTACCTATGGATAGCATTTATTAAAGTAACATTTGCAACATCTCGATTCTCAGTTGTAAAGAGTAGGTGTGTGATCTGATTTGGAAAGTAATGTTGATGAATGTAGAAAGCTCTTTGGTAATACCGATTTAATAGATTTGAAAGTGCAGTAGACTGTTTTTTGTTTTTGTTTTTGAGAGAGAGCATGCACATGTGAGTGGGCGGGGGATAGATAGAGGGAGAGAGAGAATCCCAAGCAGGCTCTGCGCTCAGTGCAGAGAGAGCCTGACACGGGGCTCGATATCACAACCTCGAGATCATGACCTGAGCTGAAATCAAGAGTTGGATGTTTAACCAACTGAGCCACCCAGGCAAGCTCCTCTACACTGTTTTTTCATATATGCTGTTTTGAATTATTTGAAATCTCTGTGCAATAGATGTGCATTTATTTATTATTTTTGAGAGAGAGAGAGCACACAAGCAGGGAGGGGCAGGGAGAGAGAGGGAGACAGAATCGGAAGCAGGCTCCAGGTTCTGGGCGGTCAGCGCAGAACCCGATGAGGGGCTTGAACCCACAAACTGTGAGATCATGACCTCAGCCAAAACCAAGAGTGGGGACGCTCAACCGAGCTACCCAGGGGCCCCTATTCACCATTTCAATTTAAGGCTTTCATATAGAAAAGTCTAAGAAATAAGAACCATTATAGTCATATTTTTTTGTAATACTGTTTATGATTTGAGCAAGATAAACACTATTTTAAAAGGGATGCTTTAATCCTATTTTGGAAAGTTAAGGTTAACTGTGAAGTAATAGGAATTATCAGTAGTTTGGTATATATAAGTTGTGAGGGTAAAAGTACCCTTAGTAGGATTTTTCTGGCCATGTTGGGTGGTTGGGGACATGATAGACTGATAGTTTAATTAAGGTAAGTTCAGGAGTCAGTTACTTCACAAAATATTTAAAAACCTTATGTTCGGGAAGAAGGCATTAAAAGAAGGTATACTCTCATTTCATATACCCAGCTTAATTGGGTATGGTATTGATATATAAAATTTGAGTTGTTTTGAAAATGAAGTATAAACGGATTTTTGTCTTGGGAAACCTCATTTGAGATTTTCTTAATCTTTCATGGTCAAGTCTCTATTCTACCTTAAAAAAACAAAAAGTGAAACCCTGATAAGTTGGGAGTTTTCTTGTACCATGATTTTGAAAATTTGGATTTTTCTTCAGGTTAATGTGTTCCCTAAAGATTTGGTAAGCTCTGCTCTGCCTTTAGTTTTCTTGAATTGGCCTCTATAAATCTTATATTAACATTTGTAATCTTTACAGTGCTTACATTTTGATCTATGTCAACAGGTTCCTTTTATGTTGGCACAAAAAACAAATATGGGAGGTAGATAAAAGTATGCCCATTATTGAAAGCATGTGAACATTAAGGGTCTTAAAAGCTGAGGGGCACCTGGGTGGCTCAGTCATTAAGTGTCTGACTTTGGCTCAGGTCATGATCCTTGTGGTTTGTAGGTGTGAGACCCGTGTCAGGCTCTGTGCTGACAGCTCAGAGCCTGGAGCCTGCTTGGGATTCTGTGTCTCCCTATCTGCTCCTCCTCTGCTCATGCTGTCTCTCTTTTTCTCAAATATAAACAATAACAACAACAAAAAATGAATGTTTTAAAAATAAATAAAAGCTGAGATTCAGATTTTGAATGAATGTGTGAAAATAAACAATAATAGATTAGAAAATCAGCTGAGCCCCAGTTTAGGGAAAGGAAAGTATTTTGATGGTTCTGCTTATGTTAGATTTTGAGTGTGGGGACAAAAATATATACTGTATATGAATTCCTTTATAACAAAAGAAAGGAAGGACAGTATTTGAGTTCTTACTAAGTTACCGAGTGTATTTATTTTTTTAAACAGATGCTGTATGTGATTTGCCTTGCTCCGGTGAAGACCAGTTGCTAGAACATGCTGAGGGACAGTCTGTGGCATGTAATGGTCATTGCAAGTTCCCCTTTTCATCCAGAGCCTTTTTGAGTTTTAAATTTGACCATAATGCTATAATGAAAATCTTGGACCTCTGATAGCAGCAGATGTGTTGTGGAAGTCCCAAGATCAGAGACCTGTTGCATTTGAGTGGGTGTCTCTTTGAGCCTTACCTTTCTCAGGTGTTTTAAAGAAATGCAGGGAGGCAATGATGTTTCTGAAGATATTGTTCTCTGTGCAGAAGAGAGAGTAGAAAGAAACATGAGTTTGCACTGTAAATGCAGTTAAAACCTTTTATACAGATGTACCTTTTCAGTGTTTGGCCAACGAATTTAAGTTGCTTTTTACGAGAGCATTTTTTCTGTGTGATTGTGGTTTTTATTTCATGTTCTGGTCAAGAAAATAGTATTTGAATCATCATCATCAGGTAGCCAATATAATGGGAATGCTCCATCTATCCATGACAGTGATTGCAATAAGAGTTTCCTTATATTGACATTTTTAAAAGAAACTTAAAATTCACAAATACTAAATGAATGCAAGAACTGAAAATGTCACTGAAGTCAAGATTGCAGGTCATCTGCTTTGGTGGCATTTTGCGCATTTCTCTGCTTCTAACCACTTAGGTTCTCTAATCCTCCTCTGCTTGGAGATTTGTTGAAAGGTTATTTTTAGAGCCAGCATCTACTATGTAATGTTCATGTTAAAAACGAACTCTTAGCACTTCATTAAGGGACAAAGTCCTCAGCCTGGAGAGGGACTGAGTTGGTTGGGTGGGGAGTGGACACTCTGACTTGGCATTGAGAGCCTTGTGCAGTCAGTGATCAGTGAACCTGCTGGGGAGCAGGGAATCCAGGGCCTGGCAACTGCTTTGGTCTTGTCTTCACTGTCCTGCCATCAGTCCTTTAGTATTGTACAATGGTTTTGTTCCTGTGAAAATTTATTTTCTGTTGTAGCTGTGTAAATATGAATGGAATACTGACATTATTAAGTTTTACATCACATCTCGGTATTGATCTCTGGAAACTGATGTATTAGGTTCCAATTTTCAGTAGTAGCAGAAACTGACATGCTTTTATGGGCATGCTGAAGCCTCTGGACGAAGGGAAGGGGCATATGGTTCAGGCAAGTACAAGTAAAGCATTTCAATAGGGGAGGATCAGAACGTGAAGGTAGCATATACAGAACTCATTCCTGGCACTAGATTTTGCTCCTTCAGGATTCTTAAATCTAAATAAGGGTGGCAGTGCCCGTTTTAAGAAGGATTTCAGCTCTAATTGAGGACAATCACCAGGGCTTTAAAGGGGTTTAGTGTTTGGGCTGCCTCTGACCTCACTGAAGGTATTTCTTTTGAGGGGTGGTGTGTGAGCATATGTGTGCGTGTGCATCTGTCATGTGGGTTTTAAAAATCTTTTTTTACATGTGGTATCCACAAAATATATCTCTGCTTGTAAATTTTATTATAGAAATCTTTATTCTGTATAGATAGCCTATTTAATAGGGATTCTATATAACCCAGTGGGACTTTCAGAAGAAGTACTATTGTAAGGAATTCACTTGGTATTTCTTTGCTTTAGCTTTTAAATGGCTTGATTTTAAAGGAGAAATTCTATTTATTAATAAAAGTGTCACCCTCTTGGTGCTAAGCAGGAGAATTCACAATTACAGCAGTGTGTTTAAAATTAGGTTTTTCATAATCCTGCATCTTTTAATGTGATAAACTTGTGAATCCTTCTGTGACCTTTTTTAAAATGCATTATATGACTGCTTTTGGAAGCTCTTACTGTTCTTTCCAGAAATACAGCTGCTTTGCTTGGGTCTCCTTGAGCCATATTTATAGTTGGTCCCAGCATTCCAGATTTCTGTTAAATTGTTAGGCGAGTAAAAACTTAGTTTGCCTCGCAGGTAAATCATTTTCACTCACTGTCATCTGGAAACCATACAATTTCAGTGATTGTGTGTGTGTGTGTTGTTGTTGTTTAATTTTTTTCTATTTTAGTCAGTTTTTCTGGTGCCTAGAGTTGGGTTTTTCAGCTCTAAATATGAAAGCAAAAGAGATTAGAGTTAGTTACCAGAAGTATGTCCTCTAAAGGTGTGGTGAGCCTTTTTAAGAACCAACAGATTCTCTCTTGTCAATTACAGCAGTTTAACAATAGTTAAATGTTATTGCTGTTGTGCTGCTTCATTTAATGCACTGTGGAACAGAATAAGGGTATTGTTGGGATGGGATTTTGGTAACTTGAGGCTTTTAGCTGTGTTGACAGTTTGAGATAAAAAGATGTGAGTTAAAGTTTATGTGTGTGATATGACTTAACTATGCAGAAAATATATAAGTTGGGTGTACCTGTTTTATGTACATCTGCTATACTTACTCCCTTGAACCTGTGTATTTCTCAGTGTTCAGGTTACCTTGAGAAAGGCCATGCTTAGCACAGAACTGGATTTCTCCTCTGAGAAATTATAGCATGGTTTGAAGGAATCAAGTGATAAAGCAGTGTGCTGAATATGCAATAATTTACTTCTGTGTGCTGCATTTTAAGAAGCTAGATGAGAAGAGTAGTTGTGTTGGCTTCATTATGTTTTATGTCTTTGAGAGAAAAATAGGTCTTTGAGTCCACTTTTTAAATGTTCTTATGTTCCAACCTTACATGTTCCAAGGTTCAGTGCACTGTGAATCTTTTTTTTTAATTTTATAGGTGCTTTTATGTATAACTGTAATGATTTGTAGGATGTTAAGTGAAGTTTTTTGTATTTAACCATTGTTATCCAAAAGGTAGGGGTATAATTTACATGCTTTCACAAGCTTTTTGTTAAGAAAGAGCAAATGAATGGTTTTAGGATTTCAACCAGTGACACTCTCCTGAGACAGAAATTGAATGAAACCCTTAGCATGGGTAAAATTTGAAGAGGTTTGAAACTTAAGTTGGATTTTCATGTTAATATATAAAAACAAGTCTCCTGTGCTGTCAAAGGATTTGTGGTCACTGCTTGCTGCTTTGAGCTTTGGATATCCTTATTTTTCTATTAAATATCAATTAGTAAGTGCAGATAATGAAGATGTATAGCAAAATACAGCAAAAGTAATTATATGCTGTAAGATTGGGTATTTTGTCTTTTAAGGCTTTAGTAGTTTTGTGTAATGTCAAATAAAAAAATTCAAATCTAAGTGAATGGCATCCTTCCATAGGAATTAAATTTAAATTTTATTATAAAACTCAACATATTATGGTGGTCATTAGAAAAATTCAGGTCTAAGTGCATGTATGCATTAAAAACATTTTGTTACCTAATTCCCTTCCCCCTCCTTTGGTTTCCAACAGGAGTTAACTTGAACAGTAAGGAGCAAAGTCGATATAAAAATCAGACTGCCAAATTACTTTTCTTACTATGATAATATATTGTGGCTTTTTATCTTTATTTTTGTACCAGTACTTCTCTCTGCCTGTTCAGAGATTGTGTTTTGATTGACATCTATTGTGTCTCTGTATTCTCTGAGGCAGTGTTTTCTTTGCATATTAATCATAGTTACAAGGTCAAATTCATTAACATGTTTCTGATTGAAGAAAGGTGTTACTTAAGTGATTTTGACTCGGATTATATTCTGGCCTGGGGAAGGGGCTCATATGTATTGTTTTAACTTCAGATTAATGATAAGCAAGACTTATTTTGTCTGAAGGTGTCAATATCCTTTTCCTTTAAGTACCTATCTCTGGGTAAACAAGTGTTAGTAAAAGTACAGTTTTGTTAAACCTTGTTTTTGATAGTTGGATAAAGCCTGGCTAGTTCCTCATTTTATGTTCTGTCCTAAGCCTTTAAAGTGCATTTGTATAGTTGCCGAAAACTCTAAAAATGAGATTATGATGGGCTTTCTCAGCAGCTTTTTCTACCTAGAATTGAGTTGCTCTTGAAGTTTATACTCCTGTGTCATAAAGATGGCAGATTGCAAATAGGCAGTAAAGGCTCTTTCCCGTGCTTGCAAAATAGAGTTCTGGATTGCAGTTTCAAGATCCAGTATAGAGAATTATTACAGAACAAAAGTGCTCTGAGGGGAAGATAGCTGTAGTTGTTGGGCAAAGAGTGGAAGGAAGAAATTTTAGAAGATAAATCAATTCTTGAGTGCTGTCTGTTGTATTAGGCTAGAAACATGATCATTGCCTAGGCCAAGCAGTGTCTAATATATATGGCCATTACCGGGTGTTTCCTAGCTCTGGGTAAAGTTATTTTTTTACCGTTGCCAAGCAATCCAGTAAATCTTAAGTAATTTTTCTCACTTCAGAGACCAGTATTTGAGAGTGCAGTCCTTCCTGTGCTGATAATTTACAACTCCAGCTGCACTGAAGTGCTCTACTTTCTTACAGGAATGTGACTCAGAGCACCGACAGCCACGGTCAGGCATGTGTCATAGTCACTTCATATGGTAGCTATACATTTGTCCTGAATGGTGATCCATTCCTTTCCATCTAGTTTTCTTGTGACAAACCACATTACTATTGAAACAGTAGTCTAAAGCTAAGGAAAAGAATGAAGCTACCTCTCATACATGGGAGTGGACTTGGAAGGCTGGCTGCCACCAGCTTAGTTGCTCAGACTTTAAAGTACAAAGAAATGTAAATAAAAAGCTATGGTAAAATATGGAAGTTTTATTTTGAGAGATGTTTATAATTGAATCTTTACTCTGGGTCTCCAGATTAATGAAATCACAAGTAATGAGATTCCATTTGTCTTGTGTCTTCTGTGGTTAGCAGAGGGGATGGTCTAGCTCTAGTAGCAGCTTGAAAGCACAATCTGAAAATAACCGTGACAAGAGTGCTTGCATTAGCTGTGTCATATTGGCCAAGGGTGCTTGGGAGAAAGGGATTGGATGCAGAAATCAGTTGAAGTCAGTTGCCTTGGTTTGTGACTTCGTCCCATATCAGCCCTCCTCTTAGTAGACTTCTTTTATCCAATGGAAGAATAAGGCCCTGAACATATATATGTGCTGCTTTTTTTTGGTGAGAGGGCTCTTGCAGGGGTTTGGGTGTTGTTTTGGTTCTTGGCTTCTATCTGTTGAATGCCATTTGAAGACTGGTTGTTTCTTAATTCTGTTTCTTGGTGTGACTGGCCGGGAAGAGGCCATAAGAGTCTCCACCCCACCCCACCTCTCCTTTTTTATCTCATCCCTTCTATAGAAAAATAGTTTGTGCTACATCCATATGGTGGTAAATCTGCCATAGTGGGAATTTACATGCAGTGATCATAATCTTGCTTGCCTTCTACAGATGATCTCACTTGACCCT